CCGGCGCGCACCATGAAGTCCTGGCTGATGTAGTTGCAAAATGCTCCGCAATCGATCAAGGCACTGTAGGTCGCCTCTCCAATCTGAATGCGTACGTATAGCAATGGTGCGTCGATGTCGTCGTACCGTTGCGTCTTGAACTCGCGGTCGATCTTCGCGATGTAAGCGTGAAGGTCGACAACCTCTGCTCCGGCGTCCATCAACGGAGCTGGTACTGCAGGGTGCAAGTAATCCCGCAATTGTGCTATAAGCACGTTGCAATGCGGTTTCGACAATCGTCCGGTCGAGGGAATGGGCATCCATAGGAAGTCCGTGAACGTCAACGGGTCGAGCTCTTCAAGTCTTGACCATGACGTTGAATCCCTGGCGATAGATTGTGGCGAAGCTGCCGAATCGGTTGCCGATGGTGATGAAACCGTGCATGCGATGGACTGTTGCACGTGGAGCGGTTGGTCCAGCGGTGGAACCAAGTGGACAGCATAATCCTCGTAASTGTACCGAGGACTTGCGACATTCGCATCCTCCCCAGATGTGCAGGAGGCCGCTAGCAAGGCGGCCGAATTTGGCGGAGTAGRAGGTAGAGTCGCCTCACCTTCCGCGGAGYTCAGTTTCCCRAGCTGAGGCGGGGTCGCACATCCTCCTTGCCCTGATCTTGGCACAGGRAGGTCTTGTGCTTGGTGTTGTTGCACCAAAAGCAGCTGCCGTAGCGGCCGCGGACCTTGTACTYCGCCTCGGTCAAGCCWAACTTGACCCATGGAACTTGTACTGGCTGTCCATTTCCGGCCTACGATGCGGATTTCRCCTTCCCATTGTTGCACRACTTGTTGTTGCTTCGCGRCTRGACAGCAGCCACTTGATCTCCGTCACTYGATGCTGGAGTGGCTGCTGGGTTATCTCCACTGTYCGACTGGACTGCAGTAAACTGCYGCTGTCGCGGACCAGTTYTKACCTTCTCCACATAGRTTGGCTGCCACGTTGACTTCTCGTGTGCAGHTGCCCTGTTAGTCTTGATGATCTCACTTGCCTTGTTGATGATCTCTGCGAAAGTGTTGTACTCCTCGCGATCACCAAAGTGCGAGGCTGAGAGCGGCGCATGACCTGTTGTAGAACTCACGCCGCAGATGCGGAAATGGCAAGTCCAAATCGGGCGTTGCCACGATCTTCTGCCAATCCGTGAGCCTGTCACGTGTCGGTGTGCTCCCTTGAGCCATCGTGAAGATGCGGTTAATGGCGAGTGTTGGGGCATCGTCGACGATGAACCGCTTCTTCCATTCCTTTGTCATGTCCTCCCWGGAGACCTTCTTGTACAGGTCTGACACCTGGACGCCGTGGATGGTTGCCATGTGGCTGAGCCAGATCTGACAACCTCCCTTGGTGTTGATGAATAGAGCACTGATGAAGAGATGGTCAGGGACTTCGTGAATCCCCAACTCCGTTGTAAATCCTTGCCACCAGACGACCGGGTCTTGATGTATGGAGTCATCAAATTTCTCGATCCGGAACGTCGGCATGTTGTATGGCCTCGCCGAGCTGTTGTTGTGGCTGTGGTCAGTCTGCTGTTGCTGACTGATCTTAGTGCCCAGCAACTCGAACCGCTGGCTGATGGTGGCCGGCTCTGTGAAGGCACTTATGTCTCCTAGCATTGCCACTACGTGGTCAACGCGTTCCTCCAGTTGGCGGCTAGAGGATGCACTGCTGGAAACTC